GATGGGTGGGGTATGGAGCCCTTGGCAAAAGTCATTGTATATTGAGAGATAAATGTCTCAGAGGTAAAAGTGCTACAAAGTTCTAAAGAATTCTAGAGTCTTGAAGATCATGAGACACATTTTCAGAATAAAATCTTGGAGTGGTTGGACATGGTAAAATCCTATTGTTTTTGTAAACAGTGAAGTGAAGCTGTGTGCCCTAGGCTCATTAGCAGTGAAGACACTGAAAGATTAAAATTAAAGAAAAGCAAATATTTATCAAACAAATACAAACAAAAGAAAAGCATGGATGGAAATTTTAATTCCAAAGTAGAATACAAAGCCAAGGCATTTAAAGGGGCAAAAGGGTTGGCAAGAGGTATGACCCTAATAAAGAAAAAGCAGTCACAAAAAGTTATGCATCTAATTTTCTAAAATCAATTATATAAAGCAAAAACTGTTTGAAATAGAAGGAAAACCTGAAAGAAGCACAATTGGTTGGAAAGTTTACATCTCATATCAGCTTTTTATAGGGGAGGTAGAGAGAGAAATCTAGGTGGGTGGGAGCAAAAGTATAAACACTGTAAAAAGATGAGTAGTCAGAGTTTCAATTATTGTCATCAGCTCATGTCCTAAAAAAAAGATAATGTTTTTCATCTCCAGAAGATTCAGCACTGAAAGATTCTATGGCTATGCCATCATATAAGATCAGAAAAATTACAATCAGTTTTTTCATTTTATCTATGTGACTGGAAGAAAATAAACTCCATTGTAGAAGACACCACATACCCATCAGCAATTCTCATCTATTGGTAAATTCTTCTAGTATCAACCCTGTAAATTTCCAAAGTAGAAAATTAAAAGTCCTGATCATTCATAAACTAATTCACTCACTCATATTAGCATATTAGTGCCTTGACTACATCTTAGACACACTCCAAATCCCACTACATTATTAAAACGGATGGTTTCCATTTCCTGAAGCCATCCACATGACCTGGGATTGTTGGAGATCTGCCTGACCTTGATGCTGTGGCAGGTTGAGCACAGCTTATCCCCAAAGTGGCTGAAGCTGGAAACAGTTGGAGGGTGAGAATAAACTGGGCTCTCATTGAGCACTCATTGCCAAAACCAGAACACCATACTTGATTTTCTAGACTAAGGGGTTCATGAACAGTAGTCTAAGCTCAAAGAGTCGCAAACCAGGTAGCCGTCATAACAGAATGTGAAACAAGACTAAGGTCAAAGCCAAAGCAGACAGAAAATGAGGGAAGAAAGGCAAGTTTCTCTCTCTTCTTTTAGTATGGCTGCATTTTTTATTTTTTCATTTAAAAAAGTGCTTGCTTTGGTTTCCAATAATGTTTCTCAATTTAACCTCAACACATATGCAATCAGGAGGAAATCCTCACAGCTTCTGGCTGTCAGTCTTGATTTTTGATATTGATAAGAGTTTTCTGTATTGTTAGTACTTAAGTGGGAAGCAAAGAGAAATTACTTTGTCCAAGACAAAGATTATGAACATCACTGCAGAGTCAAACTTAGGTTTGTTGGCTTTCAGCTAAGAATCTACGGGCCAATCGGGCTGGTTTAGAAATTTAATATTGTAGGAGTATTGTAGCATTTACTCACTAAGAAAGAAAACTAAGTTCCAGATGAACTAGCTAATGTTATAATGTTCACTACCCAGACTCTCTCACTTTCTGTTTCTCCCTTTCTATCACAGGTCATTGGCCATGAATGGTTAACTGCAAAATGGATACCACATCTTCAACTGCCAGGTAACTTTTGGGTCTCTCTGTCCATGCAGGTATTAATGAAATTCAGGTCATAAGGGGTAGGAATGAGGTAGCCAGGATGCTCAGAATCTGAATGTTTCATATTACAGTATATCTACATATACAACTGTGGTTGATACAAAGTTGCAAAAGGGCTTCTATTATTTGAGAGAACATAAGGATTTAGATTTGAAATATATTCATGATTAAATATATGGGAGTTATTAGGTTCCCTTTGTATCAAAATTTATTACATTGCACTGATTTGCTGGCTGAGAAAGAAAAGGCCATTTGCATGGCTCCTGTCAGTCACATGCGGTTTGGAAACGCTTGTGCATTCCAGATACATTCTGTGTAAACTGGAGAATCATATCCTATTTCTACTGGTTTGCATGCATGCATATAAAACTTGCTTTTTCCCACAGTGCCACATGAGAATCAGTGAAGAACTAGCAGCAGTGATTACAATTAATCAACTTCTTTGTTGAGATTTCACAGCTATGATAGTGAGGGGAATTCTTGTCCCTAATGTCTAGAGAGGCTGTGACTTCTACTTTGTTGGTTTATGCGTTCGGTTCGGTTCTATGGAGCATTTAGAGATAAAGATGGCAACTGCCATTCAACACAGTTTCTCACACCTACTAAGTGCTAGGCCCTCCACTAGTATTGAGAGATAGTGTGCAGAAGTCCCACTACAGGGAGCTCAGAGTTTAACGGAAAAACCCACAAGTAAACAAATAGTTACCACCCAGGATGATAGTTGCATTTACAGAGTTTGGGTTATGTACTATGTCCTGTGGAAACAGGGAAGGAGTTTTCCAAGACTTCACAGGAGGTGATTTCTGATGGTGGAGTATGAGTTGAAGTGAAGAGGGACTGGAAGTCATTCAAAAAAGTAGGAACATTATTTTCAGAGCTTATCAAGAACACATGTTTCAGGGACCTGAAAAGAAGTGCTGTATGGCTTAAGGCCAGAGGTAGAGTCAGTGGAGACTATAATTTGAAAATATATGAGAGAGAGGCAATAATTCTAATAAACATTATGTTAATAGCCTACATTCCTGTGTTAATACTTGAAGGTGTCTACTCACCAAGAAAGAAGATTTTAAGGTAGTGGATGAACTAGTTCTCTCACTGTTTCTCCCTTTCTAGCACATAATACAATGGCTGGCACATAGTTAATGCTCAGTTAACATAAACTACCAAGACTGCATATAATTGGTAGCTGCCAAGGTGGTCCCCAGCTATTCATGCCCTTGTGTCAACCCCTCCTCTTGAGGATGGGCTGGACTTATTGATTCATTTCTAGTAAGAAAATACAGAAGCAATGAGCTGTCATCTTCAATATTATGTTATAAAAAGACTGTGGCTTTCCTCTCGGGCAGTCTTTCATGTGTACACCCTCTGGCTCCCTTTGTCGCTTGGAGCATCAGCTGTCATGGAAGATAGTTATGGAGAGGCCTGCATGGCAGAGCTGAGCCACTTCTATGTGAGTGTGCTCTCTACCAACGCCTAGGCATGAGAGTGGATGTAAATCTTCTAAGGCCTGATAGTCACAAGGCTGCGTTTAGAAGTGAATTCTCCAATTTTGCTTGAGGTTTGAGGCAACTGCAGCCTTGGCCAACAGCTTGACTACAATCTCATAAGAGACCCTAAACCAGAGGCACCAGCTGAGCTTCATTCTGATACTCCGCCTCCCAACAGAAACTGTGAGATAAGGTATATTGGGTTGAGTCACTAAATTTTGGCATAAGTTGCTACACAACAATGGATAACCAACATACAGGGGGACCAAAAAACCCCTGAAATTTATTTATAAAAAATTGTGTATTTGTTCTCACATGTTTAAACTTCAGACACCTTCAAAATACTCTCCATTTGATGTAATACACCTATTGAGATGCTTTTTCCACTGCTCAAAACAATTTCTGAACTCGTCAATTTTTTATACCTTTTAGTACTGCTGTCATTTTTTTTTTTGTTTCACCTCTTCCACATTGGCAAAATGTTTCTCTTTGAAGACTTTTCATCAGGTAAACAAATAAGAAAAAACAAGTCACTCAGGGTGAGATCAGGTGAAAAGGGAGGGTAGGACACAGGGGTCATTCAGTTGTGGGTCAAAAACTGCTGAACACTCAGCATGATGTGAACAGGTGCGTTGTCATGGTGGGAGAACCAGTCACCTGTTTGCCACAACTCAGGATGTTTCTTCCACAGATTGTGATACCTCTCCTTCAAACTTCTTGATAAAAACTGTGGTTGACTGTTTGATTAAGAGGAACAAATTCCAATTGCACTACAATGGTCCCACCCTCCAAAAGATAATTTTGGTTTAGTTTTTTGGGGGGAGGTGTTCCTCCCCATACTATACTATAGTAGGGCTGTCTATTGACCATCCCTGTTAGGACTGGGTTTCTGGTAGACCTTGAATAGACTTTGTGGTACTAGAATTCCTTTTTGGTGATGGGGAACTTTCTGGAAACCTAGTTTCTCTGACTAGAATCTCAAACCCCTAGTGACAAGTAGGTGATCTCACCTCCCTCCTTGAGAAAAGAACCCTGTCCCCTGAAGTCTCACTCAGTTGCTCAGACCATGCACAGAATGATTCTAACCCATCTATAGCACACATTGCTGTACTTGGGAGGCTCCTTCCCTCAATGTTGGGCACATCAAAACTATAAGTCCAGTCTCTCTACTCACTGTTGCTAAGACTCCGACGAATCTCAAGCCACATCTGTCTAGATGATGACAATCACAGATGTCCACAGAAAGACACATGTAGCTAATGCATTTCCTATTTTCACATGTAATCCTAAATGATTATGTGACAAGTCATAGCAACTAATTTTCAAACTTGCAGTATACACTGTCCAGGTGGAAGTAAGTGGAAAAATATACATTGCTTAGAGAACATTGAGTTTTTGGCAGAGGATTTTTGGCAGTTTATATAACAATGTTGATTTGAAGTCAGTGGTTTTATATGTAAAAAAAGATGTTAAGACCTTGTAAAGATGCTAAATATTTACATAAAAATTATGGTCAGCTAAGGAAAGAAGAGCAAAATATAAAACCCAAGTGTGCCTTCTATAAATTATTCTTTGCTCAATTCCTATGTCTTTCTAGTAGTGGCTAAATCCATTTTTTAGCTAGTGATTGAGCAACCACTGTGCGCACAGCACTATGTAACTAAACGTTCACCACAGTCACAAGAGAAAGAGGGAAAAGGGAAGAAAAGGGACTTTGTACCTCTGTCCCTGATGACTTTGCCCCTCATGCTCTGGGATGCAATCATTAGGAACTGAAGGACTGAGGTGGCAGGATGTCCTCAGAGCCACAGCTGAGATGCCCACCAGTGGGGATGAGAAATTCAGCAGCACTGAGGTGATATGGTAGGAGAGGATATTCAGGTGATGAGTCACATTGATAACTAGTGGATTGTGCAGGCATGACAGTTCATAGGTTCCTGAAGAGAAAAAAGGAGATGAATACTATTTAAAGTCATTCAGCTAATACCATGTTTCCCTATCTAGTATTTCTTTTATCCTCCTAATAGGTATGTGATGAAGGCAAGATTCCAAACAATATCAGAGACAGACATCAAGTTAACTCCTGGGTCCATTGGGTTGTTCTTGAGTGACCCTAAAAGAATCTTGTCAGACTCACCAAGAGAGTGGTTGGTTCCACTGCCGTCAGTCAGGTAGAGGGTCATGGTTGGCCGCTGACGCTCCCCAGGGACCAGGCCATCAGTCATCAAAAAAATAAAGATTGCTGTGGTCACTCCTGGTCTAGTGAAACACACCTAGGCATAAGTACATTTATGCATTAGCCATTATTTTCATTCCGTTATTAAGGCATGTGTCACACATTTTGTCTTCTCAGGTAGTTTACCATTTATAAAGAGCCTCCTTCTTTTCTACAAATGGGAAAAATAGATAGTAGGCACAGAAAGGTATTCAAGGTTGTGTCAAAAGTCAAGATGAGATGAAAGAAGATAATTTTCAGTGAGCATTGCATCTCTTTTTCTGAGACTGTTTACCTCAACTTTCTTTTTTGAAACTTGAACTTGTCTTTAAATTTCTCAAAAACATTACTCATAGAAGTCATTGGTGAAGACAATGAAAAAAGAACCCCACATAACTAGTCAATACTTCCTTATTGCTAAAGTAAGAACCATGGACAAGATGACCATCAAACTAACATCTTGTTTTGAACTGTTTCATGCTCTGAACCACCATAACTATCCTTTCCCATCTTCTACCCCCTCCCAAAATTTTCATTAGAACCTCTTACTTAGCATGTGAACTCTGACATAAGAGGGAGGTTAATGCAGAGACTGTTTGTTTCTGAAATTAGAATCTGCCAAACCATTCATTGTTATGCAGTCTTCCTGGTGCACCAAGCATGTTCCTGGCCGGAAAATGAGCTAACATCTATCATTCAGTAATATTCTTAGATGGTTAGGCTGATTGACACTACAACAAACTTTCAGGGTAAACAGTATAAGTTTTGTCCCTGGAAATTCTGTAATAGAAAAGAAAATATCTTAGAGGATAAAGGACAGTACCTTTACTCACTACTGCTTATTTTTTACACTGGACTTATTTTATGCAGTAATTCTACTCTTGTTTTAATTCCTGTAGCTGAACATTGCTCTTAATTTCTGCTGAGAATAAAATCCAACTTTTCCTTGTGTTATATGAGTGTTATATTGTCAGAATACGGTACTGAATCTTACAACATTCAGCATGCATATCCCTAGATTTTTAAAATCAGATTCTAAGGGTGATGAAGCACCAGAAAAATTGTTCTCAGTACAAAAACAGGGTACAACACCCAGTGACAGGGGCCTCCTTTAAGAGTGGGGAGTAGGAGAGAAAAACCTGTTTTTCATTTTAACAAGAAATTTTTCTTGTCCACAGACTGATTTTTCCTGAGTCTTGGCAGTGTGTTTATAGAGTGTCCATTTGCACTGCTGGCTTAATTAGGGTGATTTTATGATTTGCAGTGGTCAAAGCAGCACAGCTCTGCCTTCTCTCCCTCCTCCTTTGAGGGAAAGACCAGCCACACTCTCGCTTTTTATAGTGCCTTTTTTTCTCTGTTTTTATTTCCCCTCTTTGAAGTAATAAATATTCCTTCATAACTTAAGAAACATCCAGACCCATAGGTAACGGCTTGCAATATGAAGTCCTTTGTCCCTGGCTGGATGAGGGCTAGACATGACACACATCCTAAGGTAACCAAGAGCCCAATTCAAAGCCTTCAACTCCAGCATCAAATGACATCAAAGCCCCCTGGGAACTCCCACAACCTCTTCCTTTTCATACACCACAAAAGAGACCTGAATCCTGGAAGAAAGTTCTGGGACATTTTCTGAGGCAGAGGCAGACAGAGTCCAAACAAGTACCTGGTGGCTTTACCCCCATTAAGCCTCAGACCTGAAGAGTAGAGTGGCTTCCACATGCATAGAAGAGCTCAGTCTTCCCTTCTTCTGATGGGTCCCATGACAAATGCCACCCACCTGAAACTAGTTAGTGGAGGTAGGTCTTACGGTGTATGTTTCTCTTTCCTGAGGGCCCCTGCCCAAAACCTCCAACCATTTTGCATCTCCTAGCAATATGCCTTCTTGCTCTAAAGGTCTTTGAATACCAAATTATTTTGGATCTTAAAGCTTGCTCCTGTTGGCAGTGTCTCTGTGCTGTGATTATGGGAAGAGTTTATGCCAGGATCTCCAGGCTGAGGCTTAAGTGGGAAAACCCCAGGTAAAACTTACAAAGGAGACCCGGGAAGAGGAATGTTGGGTTACATGAAAAAAAAGAGAGACAAGTGTTTTCTCAAGCTGTGGGATGCCGAGTCTTGGGAATTTCCTCTCCCAGAGACATGGAAAGGTAGCCAAGTCTCATTCACATTTGAACCCCACGAATGTCCCACAGCAGCAACTAGAAACACAGGAAGCATAAACTTTCTCCCACAACTACTAAAGCCTCAAAAGTAGAAGCCAGTCTGAATCTGCATATACATGCATAGTCAATTCAAGCAGGGGCAAAAGGAACCAAATAAATTCACAGTTCTGAAGAGAGAGCTGGCCAGGTAGAAGCCCTGGGTTTGACTCTTGGATTGATCTCAACTCACTAGGTAAATCCGAACCATCCATCTCTCCTGAGTCTCTCTCCTGCAGATGAGAAATCAAGATATTACCTATCTCATAGAGTAACTACAAAGATTAAATGAAATTGTGTGAAAATACATAGGATGATGCCCATTATTCAGTAAGGACTCAATGTTCAATAATTCTTATTTAAAAAAAAAATTATCCTGTTTACACTGCAGAAGAAAAAGGTGAAAAGAAATAAAAAATTTTAAATGAAACATACATCTGTATGTTTTAACATACAGAGAATTATACTTTTCTGAAATGTATAGACTAAAAAATGTGACACATGCTATTTTCAATTGACACTTAAAGAAATATGAACTGGAATTCTAGGTTCTATTTCTGTGGACATTGTCAATATTTGAGGTTTTTGGAATAGAGTATATCACTACTTTGCAAACTGAATCTATGAAAAATACATTATATATGTGATTCTTTTAATAGACTTTTCAGAAAATTCAGTTTAACATGTCTTTATTTTTAAAAATCTACCTTTGCTATACATAGAGGCATAGAAACTACTAGAATTGATAGTGTAATTAGAAAGCTAAAAGTGCATTATTCTTATTTAAATAAATGCTTAAAAGTTGCTCTTTCCACAGCCAAGTTACAACTATCTAGGTGTGTGTGTATGTGTGTGTGTGTGTGTGTGTGTGTGTGTATACATATATATATAATAGTTCAGACTAATTTTACTACATATTGAATAAATGAAGAATGTTGTGTTCCTAAGCATGAAAGGCAAATAGTAGCAACAGAAAGATAATCTGGCAACAGGAAACCTTACTTACTCTACCCCCATGTTACCTTTGCCACTGCAAATGTGACACTCCTCTGATTACGACACTAAATGCATGCTTATGAACTTCAAGACAAAGTACCTATCAGGACAAAGCACCTCTCCAGACTACTCAGATCTGAGAGGTGCACCAGGTATGCACCACGAGAAAAATCCAAAGTGTTAGGAAGTCAAAAGGATTGTCAACTTTATCTAATGTTTTATTTGTTTTAACAAGAAGATTGCATTAATGTATTGCATGGGCAATGTACAATTAATTTGAGCATGTCTCTTATAAGGAAAAAAAACCTATAACTAGATATCAGGAGGGAGACATTTCCTTTTAGAAAATCAAACAATTCTCAAGTCTAGGGAATGGTCTCAAGATTGAGGACTTACCGGTGAAATTATTTCCGTGAATCCATCACAAAATATATTGAAATAAAGAGAAAACATCAAATAGGTAGATAGATAGAGATATGAAGATATGAAGATATAAAGATAGACAGACAGATAGATAGATAGATAGATAGATAGATAGATAGATAGATAGATAGATATAGATCGATAGATTCTGACAGACAGATGGAGAAAGCCAGCCACACACTCAGTTGCTTTTTCATCCAAAGCCTGCACATTAGCTATTCAATCTAACCGCTGGCCACTGGTGAGGGGTAAGATTGAAAGAATGTCTCTCTGATGCAGAACTGTTTGGACTTAAGAAATCCCTCTTCAATCTGCCCGCTGGGCACAGACACACTCAATATACTCCAAAGCCAAGCATTTCAACTTCCAGGTCATCCTTTGTGGTGGTCACTGGAGAGCAGACCCTGAAACTACACCACAAACTTGAAAAGAATCTTCTCTGAGGTTTAAAATGCTTTTGGTTAGTCACTGCGTTGCTGTTTTTTCTGTGCCTTTTCATTTCCACTTATCTATGGCCCTTCCTGATTTCAGAGGGAAAGGGAAGGCCCTTGACCAGGAGAGAGCAGGCAGGCACTACCTTCTGTTTGCATGGCACTTCACAGTTTGCCAAACATGATTGCATACTTTGTCAGAACATACACTGAGCTCGTGGGGTTTTTATTCCTACTGGATAGTTTTAAAGTGATAATACCCTAGAACACAAAGGTTATGCTATAGAAGTAGAAACTAGGATTCTGAAAGCTTAAATGACTTTCCCTAGGTAATGCTAGTGAGAAAGGAACTTGGGTTTTCCCATTTTATTCTTTCGACGGTACCAATGTTCTTAACCTGGGGTGAGCAGTAAATCATAGATCAGGAAATGTATAGACACTTGTGCTCTCACTCCTTTTCAAAATGAAGTCACATAAGCTCTTAGGCATAACAACTTTCTATAATTTTAAGGGAGCTGAAAGGAAGTCACATAAGCTCTTAGGCATAAAAGTTTTGTGCATTTTTAATGGGGCCGAGAAACATCTTTAAAAGTCATTCAGGCTCTAATTAGGGGCCAACAGAAATGTTTGCACTACTGGGTGAACCATATTACATTTTTGTAGGAGAAAGATTATCAAATATTTGCAGTTTTATGTGGTTCAATCTAAGAATATTGCTATCTGTATAGGCTTCTGAAATTTTGTCAAGGGAGATACTGACTCTCAAAGTTCCAAGGGATCTTACTTAAAATCCAAATCTAATAGATGAAGGAAGAGTTTGAGGCAACTGGCCGCTTGCCAATGAGTCATCTTAGCTGCCTCCATGATTGAGGACGTGAGTCAAAATGAGGAGGTGGGTTGGAGCCTGTTTTGACTTTCTTCTCCTGGCCAAGCCCCTGCCTGGACATTGGTCAAAACCCAGCTGATTTCCTGTGTTATTCCTTTGTAGTACAAGTAAGCCTACAAACACCCAG